GAGGAGCAACGCGTATGCAAGAGTTGAAAAGAATCGGGGACGTGGAATGTCGGGGATGTTGAAGACGTTCAAGGCCGGAGAGCTAGGGACAGAATTAGATTCCAGCGGTCTGTTCTCCTAGCTTCTTTCTCAGCCATTTTTTTCGTTTTGGCGAATTCTAGTTACGGGGCATAAGTCGATCGTTCCCAGAGCTATTCTTTTCGACGCCGGATTAGATCAACTTGGGACCGCTGTTCTTTTTCGTCTAATGACGACGTACTTGCCTGACGTTCGGTAGTAATGGAAAACGTTTTACGGGAGCAGAACAGAACGGAATCGCTCGAGTCATCTAGGAAATTGTAGAACGTACGAACGGGTGTTGGATGATACAGCGTAACTGTAAAGTCCCCCGACGTTGATTCGCTGTTTTCTGATCTCACGAGGATGAGATCGCTTATCTCATACTGAAGTCATGCAAGACATACGAGTACGACTGTATGTAATATCATACTCGTACACGGTCCAATGGTCTTAATATTGAATATCAGATCGTAAGCTACGCCTTCGACGAGCAAGAATATCGCGTGGAATCGAGTACGGGAAAAGATCCGCGAGAGAACGCGTAAAATTTAACGTCGCAGCCTAGGATATCGAATAGAGAAGCCGATTATCTTCGTTCGTCAAAATGCACCTCCGATCGATAACGCGTTCCTTACGAACAGACGTCCAGGCGGGCTTCCCTGCGTTGCATCTGAGGATCTCCTTTTACGGATTCGTAGTTCGCTGAAAAGGGTGTTCCGTCCTCCTGAAAGGTTCACGCGTTTTATCGGGCCGCGTATCAATGACGTACATGCGAGTACATACCGTGCCATGGTCGAAGGAACGTTCATTTTTTTATATTAGAAACCGTGGCCGATGTATCGAGGAAAGTCTGCTGACTGCAATTTCCTTCGGCCGAGCAGACGAACGTATTTTCTGCACCACTGAGTTCCTCCGTCTCCCGTCCCGCGAACAATTCCACCGTTTCACGACCCGTCCGACTCGCGATATACAAGAAAACGTTTCGCTGCTTCCGAGGCCGCGTTTTAGCCGCTCAGAAAAACTGGGAACCTTGTCGAATTTCTATGTACTGGCATTCGACAAATCCTCTTTGACCGAACGAGTGAATTTCAAACGGAGGTTTAAGGACAAATTAATCGTCTCGGGTATAAGATGATTGACCAATCGATGAAACGTTTCTCTCGTCTGGGAGTCAGCCTAATTTCCGTTAAATCATTGCTGAGGAATATGTTCGGTCGTGCGAATATTCTTTTTTCATCGCTTCACTTTCGGAAGGAATCTGCTTTCTTTTAACCGTTCCCGGCGATCGGTTTCATTACCGTTAATTAACTGATTAGCGGGAACAAATGAGTTGCAGCTTAATTACCCGCAGCTGGTGAGATTCCATTTACATCTCGGGTAGATAAGATACCGCGGTGTCACTGAAAATTCATTCTCACGGCTTATATCCACTATTTTATCGCCACGCTTTCGCGCCGCTTGCTTTTTACTCTAGCTGCTATTAGTTACTTCTGTTTCAAGCTTTACGCGTTATCAACGATTAAGTACGCCGAGCATTGAATCGGTCGATTCCGATGGAGAAGGCTCCCCCGATGATTCATGATTCATCGTTCGGATTTATATTCAAGGTACGCGTCGTCGTTACATCTTATTGTCCGCGGAAATTACATTTTACGCGACTGTTGTCCCAACGAGCAAATTCGACGCTCGACGAACACCAGCCGATTCGGCACGCACGGCACGTGCCTGGCTCGCTTTAATTTGAACATCGCCTCTTCCGATCAGAAGTCAAAAGTCTGTTTCATATCCCGGCTTCGAAATCGTTCTCATACACAGTGACACATATCTCTGCCATTTAATCGACCACTTTCTTCGGAGTAATACGCGTACAGCGGAAATGTAATCAAAATTAATTACAAGCCGGCCCGGGACGGTTAATCGAGGCGCGGGTATTTCATCCGTGAAAGTCTCGCCATTCGGACTCTATATTTGTTTTGATAATCAACGAACGATAAAATCGAGAACGGCGGCGTTCATCTCTCGCGTTGAGGAAAAAACCGTCGGATAGCCGCACGTTCATTGAATATGCAACCACGCGGTGGTAACCGGCGCGCAGCAGCGGAAACGGAAAGAGAGCATAGCGGAGGCGACGAGAAGAAGAGAGAGGAGAAAAAAATAATTCGAGTATTCCAACAAGAAGACAAACCACGTCGGGGATCTTCCTAGGGAAACATCGTCCGCGCGTTGGCCCGGGCCTGAAAATCCTCCTCTCTCTCTCTCTCTCTTTCTCTCTCTCTCTCTCTTTCTCTCTATATCTTTCCGTTCGTCCGTTTGACTGGAATGCACCAAAAATAAATTCGGCGACGGAGCGAGTGCCATTTTCGAGATCGCCCCTTAGCCTTAATGCAAGCCTTAATGCATTTGTCTCCTTTTCCCTTTCTTCCTCTTGCCTTCGTCCCGTCACATATCTTCTATAGAGATTCTAGATCGTATCGCGTTTCCGATGCTGCCCTTGTGTACGCACGCATCATATGCATATTACGTGTACGTCCGACCTGTTTGCAAATTGAACCGTTCGCGCTTCACCCGCGATCATGTTTATCAAACATCTGAATTAACAGTACACGTATTTTGTTTCGCATTTACTGTCGAAGCCATCGGCCAACTAATTGTACGTTCTCAGGTACCTGAGGATAAGCAAGGTCAGGAAATTACGGTACACTCATAATTCAAGCAGGTGTCCTTAGTCCCCTGGTCCCTTAGACCTTGGTTAGACCCTTCCGAGTCGTAAGACAATAAAGTCGTATAAGTTTATGGTTTCTCGGTTTAAGAGAGGCAGGATTTGCGAGCTGGTCAATCGGTAAGAAGCTATTTAAGGACGGTGGTTCTTAGCAGGGTCAGGCTAGTAAAATTTCGAGCCGACAGGTATACCAAGAGATTTCGCGGGTTCTTTTGTTTCTTGTCTTTGCTGACATAAGGACGACATCGGTGTCTGTTATTAAAAAGGAACAATTTTGTCGCGGAATTAATGGAACGCTGGTCAAGGTTGATGCGAACCGTGATAAATCTGACGGTTTGACGGCAATCAATAGCGTGTAAAGCGGTTCTGGTAATTACGCGAAGGACAAGGAATTCTTTGTTCCGATTGTACAGTTATTCACCTCCTGGTAGCCTTATTCCCTGCGAATAATTAGCAACGTTCTCTCGACTAGCTCCGTATATAACTATTAGCCAACAGGTTTATTCACTCGACGTTGATTTGGATCCTGTGTTAATTTTGGTTATTACGGATTTTTTTGCTAATTTAAAAGTCTGATCGTGACTCAATCTCGAGTAGCACGCGTTCGCAAATTCGCATCTCTTTCAAAGTAGGTCACGAAATTTAAGGAATCGTTTAACGATATCTACGGTACTTGAGTCATCCAGTCGTTCTTATCCAATTTGTCCTACATTTTACACGTGTGATTGGCAGCCGATATTTCTTATAGTAAGAACTAGTAGATTCCAAAGGATTGCATTCTTTGAGTCCTTTTCGTCATGCATCCTTCGATCGATGCAACGAATCTGTTCTGATAGAGCGAAACTTGATGAAAAATCGTCGTGCGTATTACGCGCGTAGACGACTATTAAGCACAAAGAGAGGAGAGCCCAGGCCAGGCCTGGTGTGTACAAGTAGAAACGAAGGAATACTGAATAATTCAGGCAGTGACCGTAGCGAGTGACGTCATGATAGTATTCAGTCGGTGGACGGTTCAAGCTGAGCGACCATGCGGAACCCCATCCGCTTGGGTCCCCCCGTTGAAAAATTTCAACTTTCCGTAAAAATTCCCTTATGCGGCTCGACGCTGCAAGAAGCCCTCGGATGGTCATCGTTAAAGAGACCATAGACAAAACACACATAGTAACCCTTCCATCATTGCCTCATCGTACCGTTTCACCTGCCCGTAAAAACGGTACACTGATTTCCTTGCGTTCCTTCGTTCTCGCAACGCGCTGCCAGAGAAACTACCAACCGTATGCACGCTCTTAATTTATATTAGCGTTCGCTATACTTATTCCTATCGCTATTTTGGATCAATGCAAATATTGCTTCGACCTTGTTCAACTTTTCATATGCGATTTATTATAATCACGATTAGCAATGTAACAATTTTAAAGTTAGAATTAAATGGCCAGTGGTCGAAAATGTTTCTATCCGATGTTTCCAAGATCTCGGAAAAGTCGTGTGTTCTTCTGATATCGGTTAACTGGATCGGTGTTGGACTTTAATAACAGCGATAGTCGAACGGCTCGGCGACCGATTCGAATGATGAACGCGTGATTCTTTCAACATCTCGCGCGTCCTGGCTTCGTTATCAAGCATGGCCCATCGCCGGATATCTCGCAACACCCGTACCGTATTTTTCCCGCTATTGTATGGAAATGTCAGAAACCTCGTGTTTCTTCGAACTTCTTTTATGCCCGTCCTCCGTAGTCACCGAAAAAAAGCATGCAAATGCACGTAGAGCTCCGGGCTCGAATCATCGCCTTTCAACTATTCTTTGAAACCACCGGTTGTAGTTAGATCGTCGTTCAATGACAATGTGACCGGGATAGTTTTAGTGCGTCTCGTTTGTAATCGATCGAATCTGATCGATCCCAGTGTTTGAAATATTTTTGATTCAATGGATAGAAGTTGTGCGATGGAAAGCAACACCCATAGAATAAATAGGCGTGCGTTTAAAGTCGATTCGTGTTCACTCCACCGTGTGAAAATCACCTACGCAAGGTGAAACGTTGTATTAACGCCTGTTTGCGGCGTCGGCGGTTCTTTCCTCTTTTGAAACGATTATTACGTTCAGGAAAGTCGTCCGAGAGCCAGACACTTTCCTCGTTAATTAGAAGTTGGGGATTAGGAAAGACTGGAGATGCAGGCACTTATGAACAGTCGTTAAATTCTATTTCCATTATTTTTGTTACAGCAATGCAACTCGTTGAGAGACGAAAACCGAAGACTGCAGAACGCCCTGACAAACAATCAAGTGCCTCATGTGCAAGTGATCGACAACGTGTTTCTCCAGACCCAAGTTGAAACACTCCAATGGCAATTGAAACAGGTTCGTGTGTAACCGTGAAAAACGATCGTTTAACATACTTGTGTTACGAGAGTAAACCGTGGATGTCCTCGACCAAATTACCTTGTTTCGAGTCCTTGAACCTCTTCAGCTCGGACCCGAAAAGTGTCACGTTATTTTTAGTTATTACGAACGTCAAGTATTCCTATAAAAATATTCTCTGTTCTCATCGTTCGAAGAAGCATTTCGTAATTTACAAAAAGTAAGAATGATTGATAAGGAACTCGTAAAATCTATTGCAGATAGAAGCGAACAGACAGATGTACCGCTCCCTGTTGGAGCAGGTAACGCGCTTCTTGGACCGGGCTCGCAAGAGCTTGGATATCCTTCATGAGAAGAATAATCCTAAAGATAAGAATTCAGCGAGCCGAGTCCCACGCAGTCGCAGCGTTCACGCCGGTCACGGAGACGAATCACCGAAAAGCGCGACCCCGACGTCTTCTTCCTCGTCGAGTTCCTCTCGCTTCACGAGGGCCAAGTCCGTCACTCAGATCTCACCGAGCACCACGAGCTACCGTGACTTCACTTGGTCGATGCTACGCAAAAATGATCCTACTCAGTGCACGCCGCCGTCTCAGGATCACAAGATCGACGGGATCGTTTATAGAGAACCCGGGCAGCCAGAATTGGATCCGAACGATGTTCCACCCGAGAAATTGTCGGAGGAAGCGTTTAGGTAAATTGCAATCGAACGTACGCTTTGAATTTTGATAGATGTTCCGCCATGATAAATGAAATGTAAATTAATTGTTGCAGATTAATGAGAACTGTTCAGTCATTGATCTCGATGAGAGAACCCGAACTGGCTAGGTCCTCGCCAACAGAGAATGGCGATTCGTCTCCATCGCCGACGGACCATCATCGTCATAACGATCATCACAACGACGTCTCACTGTCTCTGCAGAACAGTTTCACGAACTCTCTCAGCTTGCAGGACTCCGCCGGCTACACTAGACGTTCGTGTAGCGATCGCGGTAACGAGTCGAGTAGCACCGATAATGACAGTAGATCTAGTTACGTAAAGTCGCCGAATAACGTGAAACGAAACCTGCAAAATCTTTTTCCCGGGGTGAGAAGATCCCTCGACGCTACTTCCCTCAACTCGGGAAGCAGCAAGACCACCGAGGAAGAGGATGTACTCGCTATTAATAATTCGTTCAACGTGTCCATACCGGATCACGAGGGTATTTTCACGTGCACGCCGTCCGCCACGCCGAACAGACGGATCAGGAAGGTGGAGAAGAAGGAAAAGGAGAAGTGTTCGAAATCGAAACCGGCTGTCAGCGTGAGCAGCGTCGAGGACGAAAGCGGATTTTCTTCTATGAGTTCGTTTCAAGAGATCGGTCTGCCGCATGGTATCCATATTTTGCCTGTAAGAGGCTGCCACACGGAAGTCGGTCTGCCCGAAGTGCCTCTGGACAAAGGCAGGCACCGTAGGTGGTCCTCGACACCGGCCGAAATTCAGGCCATGATCAACAAACAGCGAAACAGTTTCACCGCTTCTGAAACTGCTAAGGAATCTTTGAGTGTATGGGTGTGAATGCAAGATTCCGCGACTGAGACACGTAAAACTGTCGTACGAAGTAGACGCGCGAACGTATATGCTGGTTGCAACAGAAGCTCGAACAGATGATCGCACGTCGCCGGCATGCTAAAGGAATGCGAGACATGGTAATTTTTTATTTAAAATATTGATTTTTCATTCGTTTTATTTAAAATATTGATTTTTCATTCGTTTTATTGAAATGTACTTGACTTCCAAAAAAAATTGGAAAAATCGAAAAAAAAATACGCGCGTCTAGATCAATATTCTCTATTTTTTAATAATGATTTTCTGCTCGTTCATTTCGTTGTTGAGTCCACGATTGCCGTTTTGATGCAATACTGCGCAACACGTTCAGAGTTTTATTAGGAAGTTAGTATGTATGCGATTATAATTACTGATTTGTACGAACGAGGACTACGTGAATTCTCGGCAGTTGCGTGCAAAGTATTTTGCAGAGAGTCTCAAGTGTCTGATAAGAAGTATGACGACAATCGTATAAGCTAGTGTAATGGAGCATTTTACAAGCATTTGATACAAAATATTTCCAAAACAGTGTTCAATTTGTACTTAGAAGTATTGTACAAACTGGATTTAGCGAAGTGTAATCTGCTCTTTCACGGAATTGTACATAAAGAACGAGAGACATAAAGTATTCAGCATCCAACAGATGTTTTCTTATCCAAAAGAAATATTAGTCGCGCAATTATTTATAAGGTTTTCTATTTATTAACAATTCAAATATATGTTTACTAACGTGTCTTTGTAAATATCATTGTTTTTAATTGTAGTGAAACGCAGGCACACATTCCTTCACACAACATAATCCTCTACTAACAATCCATCGGAAGACACGACATATCCTATCCTCAGTAGAATAAGAAACATATTTCGCCTGCTTTGAAGCACTTGAGAGAGAAGATTTTATTCAAGAAAAAGTTAATTTGGAGGGTGGAATTAAGAAATACGAGAACAGAGAAGTAGTAAATTCGCAAGAGGTATAAAAAACATTTATTGAACATTGAGTAATTAGGAAGCATGGTAAGGTTGTTCGATTGCTAATTTCGTAAAGAATAGAAGTATGAAACCGGAGGCGGCAGGTGGGATGGCAACGCCGAGTTGCGCGCGCATCGCAGCAAGATGGCGGACGATGGCGACGTTATCAATGAGGCAGGTATCGTTCCGAGTCGGTCTGTGGTGAAACCAGGAGATCGCGCCACCAGCCGATCCACTTTTAGATTGATTTTCAAGAGCACCGTGCACTGGGCAGCGCTCCGCGTTTATTTTAACGTGGCCAGAGTGTTCGAACGGGCCGCGACCGTCTCGGGTGATAGCAGGAACATAGCGTGACGAGGTGAGAGTTTCGGGTGCGGGCGCCTATTTCTCTCTGCCGGTCTGGAAGAACATTTAATTCGTGTCCCACGGGAGACACATCGTTCCTCGTTGCCTGCGTGCTCTCGTTGTTATTGCACACACCACACCGTTCAACACGATTGTACGGTGTGCGCCGCATTCGTCTGTGTGTGCATCGTATATGCCGTCTCTGCCCCGCGTTGATACACCGCTAGCTCGGCGTGTTTCACACATAGACGGAAGGCATCTCTGGCTACGCGTGTACGTATAGAATCACGTTTCGTTCATTTTCGTGCGCGGTGTCCCGTACACGAGACGAACCTCGGTGTGTGCGCGTGTGTACCTTAAGAACGTGCGGCTTCGTGGCGCAGTGCGTGAAATGAGTGACAAGGATCGTTCTTCTCCCACTCTTGTTGAAAACAGTCTCAAGTCGCTGCTCGATCAACCTAGTGTTTTTCCATTGATTGGTAAGTGCCCAAGCTTCAATTCAGTTCGACTCGTAATGTTAAGAACAACCGGTAGAATCGCCGATTTGCGATCTACGCGGTCACTCGATATATCCCCTCCTCCTAAGATCGCCTCGGTACAACACGTATTTTTTGTTTCCTTCGAAATTCGCGCAAATACTAGTCGAGCATTGACTAGTACCGGTGATCGAACGAATACAAAACATGTTTCTTTTTTTCCATGATCTTTTCATTGACCAAGAACATACAGCGTGTCGTTCGATATTTTCTTTGTGTATGGTTGTCTTCTCGTTCTGACGTTTTTATTTTAATACCGCGCATTTGCTTCTGTTTCTACAGACATTCGTTTTGGAATGTACGTACGAAAGCAAAGTAAAGAAGAATCGTGTTGTTTTGTTTTTTAAATACGAATTCAGTGACATAAACAAGCAGTGAAACACGGAGAACAGTAAGTATACACGTTTATGTTCATTGGTTGCGCCGGCGCTCGGTTCTCCGTTTCTCGATTAACCTCGTTTGGAGCCCGTGGTGTACACCACGTGATGTTACCAACCTAACCTCGCTTTCACTTGCTCAACTCGTATCTATACGTTATTCGGTTTAGTTCGGCTCGATACGAATGTTCTGCGAGAAGAGAAGCGATACATATATGTACAAGCACAATTAACTACCCTTCCCGAATTGATCATAGAACGAACGTTTTTTAATGCCGTTTGACAAGATTCAAATGGAACCTGGTAATTGCATGTCAGAACGATAGGATAAGAATCTATTTAATCTGTCCCTCGCAAGTAGTTTGTTAAATCATGCCCCTTATCGGGAGAATTTAATAATCGACAGTAGACTTTCAATTGTTTCGTTCGACACGAAGGTATTCTCTTAATTGATCTAATTTGGAGTAGGGGACATAATAATCAAAGAGTGGAATGAAAAATGATAGTGCATTATTTAGTCTATGATAGCGTATTTATTTAGTATGTCCGACCATGGTATCTCTAACTGACGTTCATAGCTTTACGTCAGATATATAAGTGGATATTACATTATACCAAACTCAGATAATTGCTCGTTTATTACACACTAGTGGTAATAATCAGCTTAAACGATGTATTAAACCGTGACGACCTTTTAAAACTCGACGAAACATTTTTGTCACGCGGTCATTTATTACACGGATCGTTCCATGGTGAAATTACGTTGCGAGTGTTTGTGCTCACTCGTATCGAGGGACAATAATCCGACTTCCTCTTTGAGCTGCATTCTTCATGGAATGTGGTACGACTTTACTTCAGGTGATCGTGCTTTGCGCAAATGCGGCACACGTTCAATTTTCTGTCCATCGGTAGACCAGTCCCTCCGTAGCGAAAAAATTCGCTCGAAAATCCGATAACTGGAGGCACGAGGCACGACGCCTTATGATCAGCCACTTCTACGCGAGTCAATTTAGAACGTTTAACTCATACATTAAAACATCGTATTTTAACGTACATTTTAATGATCATCAGTACGTTCTCAGATTGATTTATTCATCGTAACGTACAATTAAATCTTAGGAAATGGGCCTAATTGTTGCAAAAGGGAAAACGTACGCTACGGATACTTGACGCAACTTAATCATTTTAACGGCATTGTACTAATAATCCGAAACATACAGCCGGTAAATTAAGGACAGTTCCCTGACTCAACGTAATGGCTTACTTCCCATTCAACTTTGTAACTAGTTTCATACCATCGCGAGCGACGTGATGGAACAGATTTCGTTATAAGGCAATATTAGGCAATTAATTAACGACCATGAAAATTCTAGCCATCAACTCGTCTCTCCTTTAATTTCACTTGCGTTCGAATCACGCTGTTTAAAGGCATCAGGCTCTGTTTATCCCGTAATTGTTTTGTTTAGCGGTATCGCACGATCGAGATTACTATAGTATAGAAAATACTGGTCCGTTATCGTTATCAATCGTGTTCCGTGAAATGCGCGCGTGGGATTCGGCTAAAAACTTTAGGCAACTGTTCTCCGATTATTTTCACCATTAAACGTTGTTACGTTTATCACGTTTAGGCTTATCTGTGATCAGTATTTTATAAGATTCGATAAGGTGACGTTCTCCGCGCGATCACGTTTCATTCACGTTATTTGCCGAGAATCGAACGCTTCCGAGACGTAACGCGAAAATATTAATTGTCCAATGTCGAAGTACAGCAAACTTCCCGAAGACAGATGATACTCGAACGCGGCTACGCTACGAATTACGTTACATGGATTGATCGTCGCTGTTAAATCGCGCTGGATAGGCATTTTTCGGTGTAGAACCGGTTCGAGCTGCTCGCGATCATCATCATGTGTGTACGACACTTTCACGCGATGCAGTCGGACATTAATTTTAAGATTGACACTGAGATAACGCGTTACGTCATGACTCCGTACTCAAGGACTGGCACTCGCAGTCGCAGAAATAGAAATAAATTGCGATTTTACGGCTATCTGAAAAGAGTAGCCGTGGGTGGACTCGCCACGCGGCACTTGATGCTAACGATCACGCGTAATGAGCTCTTCCCTTGATAAACTGTAAGATAATTAGTCATTTTTTTGCGACGTTCTTTTCTTCGTATAATGTTCCTCGGGATGGCTTCTAACATAGTTTCTTATCACCTAAACCCCCCAAAAAAGAGAATCTTAGCCAGCCGACCGGTCAGCAGATGATTAAAGTAGAGGATACTTCGTTGATAAGCCGAGCAGATTATCAGTAGCGTTGGGGTTGGGATCAAGTTCAATATCCAAGTTATAATAGTTTCAATGCTCAAGTCCATGAGTTTGGAGTCCCGTCCGAGACAGCTGGTCCCACTGTAATTACGATGTACTTTACCGCGATGCCTCGTCTCTCGTGGCAATTTGACGTTCGTCAGATATAGTTTCTTATCACATATCCATCAAATCAAACGAATGGTCCTACTTCTTGTTCGGGAATCGCGGCTCGTATATTTTTCTTCGCGAGCGTACGATGTATGGAAGTCTTTTTTTTTTCGTGAGGCCTAGCGGACGTTCAGAGCTACGAGGCCGCTCGCCTCTGGCCTGGCGTGGCCTCCAACCGAGTACCGCTCTCCTGGCAGCTGGCCAAAGCTTATGCCAGGTTTCAACATACCGGTCGACATGGATATTTTCGGGTTTGCGGCGAAACGACAAGCTTTGCCTTCTCTTTCCTCGCGCCTCTGACCTCGTCGAGCCGCGATACACCATCCTCGATACCCCGTCTCTCCCTGATCCTGATCGACGCACCCTGCGCCCTTTGCTCTTTCGGCCGTCCAAGCCGCTTCCTTGCTTCATTCTTCGCGCGTACCCGCTTCCGCTCTATCGATCGAACCACAGGTCGTCGATGCTAGACCCTTTTCTATTACTCCTCGTTTTACCATGGATTGAATAATTTTCAGTTCTAATCTCGTCCTAAGTAATTTATTTTCGTCGTTTATTTCCTAGAACAGGCATGTCGAACTCATATGATATTACGGTATCGATAAATAGAGGTTCTAAACTGCATACAAATAAAAATAAAATTTATTTTAAAATAGTTAATTAACATTCGATAATTCGTATGACAGCAATGCGTCGCGGAACTGTGTCGAATATGAGGAAAAGTTTGGTAAAGGAAAAGGAAGGATCGAAGAATCGATCGCCTGGTTACTGTTTGTAGCGTGTCTATGGGTATGGTAATAAGGCAAACCGAAATGGCTTATCTGGTCATAAGATGCTTACTCATTATTGTGCCGGTTTTAAATAATTTACTGACGACACGCGGGGCACATGGTCGTTCCTCCCGGCCACCGGCTGCGCTCGTGTATACGTATATATGTGTGAATGTAAGTAGCTCGTATTTACGATCTCGTAAAAGGGACTCCACGATAAGATAGCGTAAGGCGGTAATTTAGAGGCGTTGGAACGATTAGAAGCAAAACGGAGCTACAGAAGAAGCCGTAGATCAAATTGCACGACGGAGATCCAGTTTTAACGTATCCAGTCCCTTGTTTCAATTTACCGCAAACAGTTTTCGTTTCTTATTGTATATTAAACGGATTTACTCGAGGTAGAATTTTACATTGGAACAGAAACTTTTTAATCTAGTCGAGAGAGTAAAATCGGATATTGTAATGTATTGAGTAATCGAGCGATAACGATTTCTATCCACGTTTCGAAGTTCTATTAATTCATTTAAGAAAATGGGAGAGTCACTATGCTTACTGTTCTCGAGCCAAACTGTTTTACATAGAACAGATTCGCTTGTCTTTTGAAAGAAATTTCCATTTAGGCGGCAACTATCGTTGAACGGGTGAATCTATTCGGTCGGTTTCTCACGTACTCCATTTCATTTTTGCGTGCCATAGTTTAAACAGACTGTTAATGTAATTGAACGAATCGTACAAGTGTGCGGGACACGAAGCCTTTATATCTAGTGCCACGAAAATACGGCTTCCACGTCAAGGTTGCTACCGGAGACGTTGCAAAGTTGCAGGGATTGAAAATCGAAGGATTTTTGCGGACCTCAGTCTCATCGCGAATCAGCTACCTTCGTCTTGCATAATTTAATTTGACACGATCTTCTGCGCGATTGCAAATAATATAATTGTGTGATAATTGCGTCGGTTAACGATTGTCGGGCCTTTTAAGGATGTATTGGCTATACAGTCAATCCCAAAAGTTTATTTACCTTAGAAAAACGCATTTCCTATAATTAAAAAGAAATCAGACGTCGGAAGAATAATGCTAATAATAAATAGCTACGTGCTAAAAAGTATAGAAGGAAATATCCAATTAAGTATTGACGCTGACGAAAATTTTTTTTTTCAAAATTACGAAAAGTGCTTCAAATAAAAGTTGTTTTTCTTCTAATTTCGATATTTAACGAGTTACGTATGATTATTTGGCATTTTATTGATGTTGACAAAATCCGACCATCCCAGCGTCGAAACGGCGAACTTTTGGCAAAAAATTTCATTTTTCCTTTATTACTCCTAAACCGTTGAATCTACGGGAAAATTGTATAGGACCTTTCTTGTAGAGGACGACGAGATCTACAATTTCTGTATAAAAATTCTTCGTTAGCATTAATATTTAACGAGTTATTGACGAAAAACGAAAAAACAGTTTTTTGCAAATTACTCGTTAACTATTGACGCTAGCGAAAAATTTTTACATGGAAATTGTAGATCTCGTCGTCCTCTACAAGAATGGTCATATGCAATTTTTCCGTATGTCCAACGGTTTGAGAGTTATTGGCCAAAAACGAAAATTTGGAAGAAATTGGAGGGGTACCCCTTGGAAAAATCTCGGAAAAATCGAAATTCTTTTTTGTTGTTTATGATTAGCAATGTTCTTCCGACGTCTGATTTCTTTTTAAAAAATCCGTTTCTAAAGTGCATAAACTTTTGGGATTGACTGTATAGCCAATACATCCTTAAATTCCTATTGTCTCTCAATTCGTTCAGATAGAAGATTGCAAGTTCAACGAGCTATATAACTATATACTCATTTAAGACGATATCGATTTGTTCCAATTAAAGTTGCTTTCTCCCGGCTCCTCATGTCACCGTCGCCTGGTTGCAAACTCTCTGTCATAACTGCTCGAAGTCGATGACGAGCTGGGAACCGTGACGATACGTTCATCGATTCATCGAGCTCAACTACTTTCTTTGTATCATTCATGCATTATCGTTCGTTCCACGGTTTTAAGTGAAGAATGAATGAGACGGTTAAATTTTGTACGACCAGGTAAAAACCCAGTTAATTAAGCGGCAGCCACAGGGTAATGATCAATCGGTGTTAATTTATTCACTGGCTGGAACAATCCGGGTCGGCCGGGGTTAAACGCGGCTTTTTCATTCATCCTCGCCGCGTCGAGGTCTGACGTTATTCCGCGCGCGTGTGAACTATGTAATTTCGGAGGAGCACGCGGTTACCAAGTTGCATCACGCGACAGAACGCGTCTGCGACTATAGATAGGCAAAGCGGAAATCCACGCGTGCGTGAAACCCTGCATGTCGGCTGAGGGAGTAGGATAATACGCGAAATATGTAGAAATATTCGCGCTCAAGACACGTGACGAGCGGTCTGAGGCATATCACGTGCCTCTTCCTCCTCCTTCTCCTTCTCCTTCTCCTCCTTCCCTTTCGCCCGTTATTTCGCATGGTAACGCGGACGTGCAGGTGAAATAGCATCGATGCGTTCGTTCGAAATCTGCTTTTTACCGCTGGCCCGGCTCCAAATCGAATATTATTCCCGCCCGACTCGCGTACAACCCAATAGAGCAAAATCCTGTTCTCTTACTTCCTTCCGATTCGAAGTCATCGTACTCCGCTCGCGATTCTTCCACCGGACTAAACTGACTCTTATGCTTTCACGAAGGAACTTGCATTCTTCTAATACTCGCCATGCGGCCCTTCGTTATTAAGGGGCCTTACCAGTGTGAAATTTTTGGGAATTTTTTTTAAGAAAAGTATTTTATGGATTTTTTTAAACTTTATGGATATATTTGTCTATAAATGAACTGTGTAAAATAATTTCTTCGTACGAAAATAACCAAAGGCGACCAAGTTATGCGCTATTTCCCGAGACGCCAAAAAAAGTGCCTCAACTGCTGACATGAAATGACAATGAAATCAAAGATCGGGAATGAGACGTCGATTTCGTTACCACAACACTGGATGATACACACTGTATAGGATAAACTAGCGAACGAAAATTGTGGTTTTAAACCAGTTTTAATTGATCGCATGCTTAATTAAATAAATTGCTGTTAGTTCGCGCACAGAAGCAATCTGCGGCGTCGTGTACGTTCGAACAGTGGCATCGACTGCATAGGAGATAGTATCGTGTTCCCTTACGAGTTATTCGAATGCTCTTACACGATCGTAAATCACGGTTCGTCTCACAATAGCGTGCCCGGTTCTAGCGTTACCTGCTCGTTACGTTTCTTAACAAGCAACTTTATCTTGGCCGACTCCCGAGTAATTATGCGACCGACGATTTCATTCGAGATACTGTTATCGCGGCTACGCACGATTATATTCATTTATTCCTGTATCGGTCGCTTAACTATAACAACGTTATTTCCTTTATTGGCAAAGAAACGTCCTATTAGTTGCTCGAAATAATTCAATTCACGTTTTATCGATGCCGACGGGCCGTTTGATATTCGAAAACGAATAAAAAAAATGTTTGAGCGATGGAGATAGATTCTTAGTGAAGCGCGAACGAAGCGATTTCTGGCTCGGACAATGTTGAGATCTGAACACGGGCGACTGTAGGTGAAATAGTCACGCGTTCAAGAGTTCACGTGTGCGTGTGCGATCGCAACATTAGCAAGACTATCATTAGCCAACAAGGCCGTGAGCAGGGCCGTCATCGCTGACAAACGGCCACTGCTTCCAACACCAGTTGGCGTTCTCCATTCCGACCCGTTCTTTCTGCGTCTCTTGAACACCAGTCAGAGATTTCCCTCCGACTTCCCGCTCAATCCTGATCTAGAACACCCCGTCCCGAAGGTAGCAGTAAAAGTGGCCGGTAGAAAATTTCTAAAATTCTTTATACTCCATATATCGTGTTATACATAAAGATTTGATAAATTGATCACAGAAAAAAAAGTCACGAGACAACACTGACGTACTGGGGAAAAAAATAGATGAGATATTCATAAAAATGTGTCGTAGTCGACGTTTAGTTTTCTTGGAATTTTCTCTTAACCCGTCCTCTTCGTTTTTCCTTAATGAATTCCGAGTGTCTCCGGCGGTCTGTAAGCGAAAAAAAAGCAGAATGAAGGAGATCTAACATCACTCGAAGGCCTCGCGGGTAACGCGATAGAAGTTCTTTTTAAAGAGAAGTAATAAAAACATGTTTAAACAGGGAAATGCATTTAAATGGATTCGAGCAAACACCGGCCGCGTACTTCGCTCACGTCCGTCTCTTCTCGCTCTTGAATCAATCTTTGCGTCCAGCGTCGAACGATAAAACGGGGATCGACGGTTTATTGTTCTATCTTTTCGAAGGATCATTCTTGCATTTCCTCTGAATTTTCCGTCGCGGTAGAACGGATGCTTCGCGGGCTATCTTTTCTCAAGATATCGCCACTTTTCGATGGCTGTTTGGTCACGTCGACGTCGCCGTCGACGTTCTTCGGGATCTCCTCCCTCCTCCTTCGTCTCACGCGTCTCCTTGATCTCCTTCTCCTTGATCTTCTACGCGATCTACACCCTCGGGAACTCCGCCTCTTACCCGATCTTCTTCTTGAACGACCTCTCCTTCTTCTCCTGCTACAAATATTCACCGGGTTGCCCCCGCCGCTGGGACATTGACTATTGAGAAAATCCTGGTTATACGAGTAACATCCTCTGAAACATAAAACATCGATCCTCGCAATCGAATGTCAATGAAAAATAATATAGTTATTGTCTCCTGAATAGTCCCACGTGCATCGTTATTAGTAGTTGAAAGAGAGAAAAAGCGGTAGCGAAGCGTTTTTTGCGTTTACCCTTTGACACGTTGGAGAATGCCGTAAGTGACGCCGCGTTTCAAGGCGAGCTGAACGTGTCGTCTAATTTCATTGCCGGGTACATTGTATTCCTGAGCGATATAGTTGCTAATTTCCCGTGGAGTCGACCCTTGAATTGTCTGTAACCGCCGGATGGCCTCCACCACCTGAGCTTCGATTTTTGGCGATTTTTTCACTGGCATAATTATCTCGTCCTACACGCGATTAGATCGTCAGGGAAATGACCGTGCGAGGAAATCGATTGTTGGTTCACACTTACACGAAGCAAGGCATTTATGTTTTGGGGAAGAATACGAGCTTCTGAATTTTTACGTTTGCACCTGATCACCGTTTACGATCACGTTCGACTTCCTCGGGATTAAAATACGAACAAAGAATCGTAGGTAGGTTCGTCTTTTTCTCAACATCGGGTGGGAATCTGTCGGAAACTCGTCGAGGAACGTCAACGAACGTTACAAAAATAATTTACTCGATACGAGATAAAGGTCCTTGCAATTTTTTTAACGCTGGCATTTTTTAGTGACATATCAAACGCGTCTAATTTCATTCGACTTGAGATGAAACAAACGGGGTTTCCAAGAAACGATTGTCTTTTAAATTTTTATAGATTATTCGGAGAACGCCACGTGAGAATTTCATCTCCTATCATCGCATATTGCTCCCGTCTATTCACGGTGAAACTTGGTATTAGCATTTGTATAAAAGCTGCGCGAGCTCCTCGCAGGATCCACTGGCAACCAGCCAGTGTAAAAAATGGACCGATTTCGGTCTGTTTCTTTCCGGTATTCGCGTACAATTTGCTCTCCTCTCATCGAATCGAATCCGTATCTCTTCCCGTTCGCCCCGGCAGTGTTCTCTCGACCAGGCAGAAATAAAACGGTACCAAACAGCGCCAGGGGAGCACGACAGACCTTTAAACAGTGACGTCATCGAACGCTGTTTTCTCATGCCTTCGTAAATATAGTACTCTTCCGGCTGTTTGACTTGCAAATTGAGAGTGCAATTAGAGAGCTGCGCGAAAAATTGCCGTTTGAATTATCACCGGTACGCGGCGAACGGTACGAGGAGTGAACAACGCTATTTACCGTGACTTCGGCCAGAAATTATATTCAATTTGTACCCTATTTCGCCACTTACTCGTTCCCCAGCGTATCGGGCTGTTTTCTAAAAATTCGATTATCGATAAAATTTTTATCACCATTATTATTACTGAAATTATGGTCACGTGAAATTTCGCAGCCGTGTTAATTATTTCTCGTATATTATTTTGTAATTACTCAAAAATAGACCGAGACTAATGACTGGCGGCGCCCGGGAATATCATAAGTACTCGATGAAACGATCCATGAATTCCAATGTGGAATGCGCGAGGGTAATTACACGTTTAAGATAAAAATATTGTTTGTTCAGAGCAGGAAAGACGGGTACAGACGTTGAAACGCAGGTAGATACGCTTTATTATATAATTTCTGTCGACATTAATATTAATCGGTTGCCCGACGTGCAGGCCATTTAGATTATTAGGAGAGATTAAACAATCGATTGTCGGTTCATGCGAAATTCAGTAAATAAGTAAGTATAACAAATCGGTAATACGTAAATTGGTTCGATTTTTATTGATTGATCTCAGTTCTATCTGCTCCACTCGTATATTATTATTTGTACTTATTGACACAATCGTAACGCGCAACGTGTAATTAACTGGCATTTAATTGCGCACGTTTTTTAAACCCGTCTCAGTTACCATTATTTCTTTTATCTGTATGAAATTTATTCCGCACAAGAAATTGCGAATATTAACAGCATTCTGCTGGCAATTGATAGATCAGTTCAGTCAGCTTTCTAAATTATAGTGTGTTTCCCTTAACGAGGGTATTGAGTTCGCATTAAGATTATCTTTGAAACGTAATGCGCAACATTCAACCAGCCCGTCCCGGGTTAAATATCTGATAAAATGAGCGATAAGAGGAATCTTCTCGTTTGTCAGATGTCCTGTAGAGAGCAGCACAGATAAAGTCGGTCTCTACTGGCATCTGGCTCGGGTTCATGGAATTCGTGCCGTCATCGGGAACTTACCGTCAGTCCGCTAATAATCGACCAGCAGGAAACATCGAACAGACTCGGGTTCATTCACTAATTATTTTACAACGTGTCTCGGTGTAGAAATCGTATCACTGCCATATTTAGATGTTTAAGATAAAATTCATGAAATTAGGACGTGAACTTCGATCTTAAATATAAATAACGATTCTGAATACCGGTCATAGTTGCCTCAGATAAATTCCTGTCGCAGTTGTCAAATTTCAAGTATTAGCGCTAACTGCGTTTAGCTCTCTGAATCAACTGTGATAAACCCCGTTTTATTATGCATTTACGAATTCGAAATCAGTATTCATCGGAATCGTGAAATTATTTATTGTAACAAATTAAAATTTTGAAGAAACTGCACCCTGAGCAAGGAAAATACTGGAAACCTTGTTTTAAAAACATTTACAAGTCGATCTTCAAATCTTATTTCTTCGACTGAGTATTTTCCTCAAGTTTATCTGCAGAGATAAGGGAGTGGTTTTGAAACCAGAACTAGACGATTTTTCTATCATATAATGAAAACTCTTTCTGAAACCTATAATGTATTTGGGTTCACGAGAGTAATGATGAACTTTCACCAACTCTTCTCTCTCGACTCTTTGTAAAAAGCTTTGAGGATTGAAAAGATACAGGAGAGACAATGGCTAGATCTCGTATGAAACGTGGGGTTGGCTCTATCGTTTGTTCATTTTTTTTTGTGAAAACGACTGTGTATACAAGGACACGCACCGGACACGGTGCATTCATCCGTGCGAGATCCGAGTCGTTTTATTGTTAGCCGAGTAACGCGAGTTCCTGCATAAACCGATTGTTCAAATGATTCGAAATTACCCGTAGACTTCGTTACCGGAATCGCCGTATTAGCTTTAATGAATATTGCGCCTATTTAAGCCGTATCGAAATTGCACTATGATTGAAGTATTATAGCTTGGGACAATGATTCCTGGCTAGCTCCGGCTTATCCGAAAATTGGCAAAATCTCGGAAAAATGCAAAAAAATTTTATTCTCAAAATTTCGAAAAATGCTTCAAGTAAAAGTTGTAGGTATTGCTGTCGCCTGCAAAAAAGGTCGTATACAATTTTCTTCTATTTCGAATATTTCAGGACTAATCGATTAATTAGTTCGTTCATCACCAATTATTCTTTAAAAAGTGGAGTTAAAAGAAAATTGGATAGATTTATTACTCTTATTGAACCTTGTCCTTTTTGGGGAAATTAGTACTAGCCAGAGTTGGCAAGCTGTACAAGTAGCAATCTTTCTCCTAAAAACGAACTATGGAACATTCTTAATCTGCAGGCCAGAAATGAAGAAAAGCAAGCAGAGGAGTTGGGATTTATTTGACCCGTATTTTTGTATGCGTAAGACAGAATTTTATACGAGGTTGTGATTAGTCGGAACCGATGAATCTAAGAGACGATGCATCGGCGGGTATGCACCGGGCGAAAGTGGTCGCATAAATGTCGGGACACACGGGGTTTAACGATTGCGGAGAGATCGGTGAACCGGAAGCGAAAGGCTTCGCGCGCAGCTTCACGATTCGTTTGCCACGAGACGCGAGATGCTCGAGCCTTTAATGCACCGAGAAGCCTCGTGTCTTCTTCCATTTCCACGGCACCCGCATGTATTTTTTTAATCACCACAAACCCGTCGTATTTATTTCGCATTTGCATTAGAAGCGATGACACGATCACCGTGTCTAGCTTGAAAACGGCTTTTTATCATCTGTCAGGACGAACTGGTTTCCCGATATTTGTAAATGGTCGCTCGCGATAAATCACGGCCCGGCGAGGGTGACTCAGATGTGACGCTTCAGGAGAACGTTTGAATGAGATGCCCGACGGGTCTTACGCAACACAACTCGTCGTGTTGCGACGGCAACGTTCGTTGCCGCAAGGCCGCGGTTTCCAGAATTTACTGGCCGGCGTATTAACCGCGCGGTATAAGAGGTCCTGTAAACAACGCGAGAAATCGTTCAAAAAGACCGTGTGACGAAAGGTTCCCCCCCGCTCGTATTTCAGGTGTTAAGCGTACTAACGATAAAAGGAAGGCGTTGGACCGATTCCACTTGACCTTCTCTCAAACGATGTTATTCGAAGATTTTGTAAAAATGTCGCAAGCGATATTTTTCCTACGTTTTTTTTTTGTTCAGGACCCTGATTAATCACGTGGGAAAGTATCACGTGCGTTAGGCTGCATTGTTTGATGCGCCTTCGACGTCCTTGCGGCATTCGCAAGCCATTTTTGCCATTCCCGTTAAATACCGAACGTTTATAGAATCTACGCTAATTAAAACGCGAGTTAAAACCGTAACTGAGAAAAATCGATCAGAACGCGTACAGGTATTTCGTTCTCATTCATGAAACAAGCGAGGTTGTAAGTCACCGGGTAGGTAGTAAAAAACACGGTTGAATGAAACATCGCAGTAGCACCCGCGAAACTAAATTAAACTCGTGACACGTTTCTGTAAATAATTCATGAATCAACTGGTATTAAAGAAATTATCACTGTTAGTCGGTGAATCGTGGTACCAGGTATCTTCTGTGTAGAGTCGCTGAACGATTTTGTTTTGAGAACTGTTCGCTGACTTACGAACGGTAGTGTAATCGAATGATATTTATGCCCGAGTCCTGCACACGGTTATGTACATACGTATCATAGTAATCGCGAGCCCGGCACGCACGAAGGAGCTCAATTAAATTGATCTCGGTAGTGTACCATTTTATTACGGCATTGTAAGGAACAATTGTTTTCTCACGTGTCTGAAAAACTGATTGCCAGTGATGTCACGTCCGGAGAGCGACCTTCGTCGCTGGCACGTCCGGCGCGCCGAGCTCTCCTCTATACGTAGATTCAGAAAAATTAGAAAATTACGAGCTCGGCCAGTTTTCAGACTGCTCCCTCTGTCTTTCGCTGGTCCCTCGTATCGGTCCAACGTCTCCTCCAAATCGTAGTTTCATCACTGATGGGAGTACACGTTCAATGTGATTCGTTCAGAAACGTGCAACGACGTAAGGCGTCGTCGTTCCAAAAGGCAGTCACTAGACTGTAAAATTCTGTGTAAAATATAATTGGATTTTAAACTTTGCGGTCAATTAATTACGTATTCCATTCAATAGCAGGCAGGCTATTCACAAATTACAATCGCTGTGCCATAAATACAACCGTCATCGAAACGCGACGTCCTCGTTGAATTAACCCGAACGTATTATTTCTTGATTAAAAGCAACACGTTCTTTTTTTTCTTGCCGCGTTTAAAGACATCTCGATTTAGCAAATTGTATCCTACTCCCCCGGCCCTCGCCGGGGTTGCGTAACGGCGAAGGCGACTAATAAGCAAGGTAAAGCCAGTTCCGTTTCTACACGCTTTGCATTTAATAGTTCCTCCACCCCACACGGTCGCTCGCCACCCTTCGACGCGAGCGGCGTTACTCGTTCACGTGGCCGGACACGTGAACCTGACACGTGGGATTCCCGGGCCGCGATATCGAACCATCCTCAGCCCGATATTTTTCCGTGTATACCGCTCGCCTTTTACATTACTTGCCCCACCAGCAATTTCATAAGAAAATAAATTCTGTGATCAAAATGCGACAGCAAATTAAATTTTGCTCGAGCCGAAGGATTTAGAATATATCTGCAGTTTGTGCGGGGCAAGATCGTATTCGGTCATACCAGGTAGATGATTTTTCAATCACTCATTGCGACCGAGTGCGACGAGCTTGAATCGACTAATTTGGTTTCCCGGTATTGTGACGCGAACGCAGGGGACGTCTGACTAATTAAATACACACTCCCTCGAATGCTCGCGGATATAATCGATCCGACAAGGCGTGGAAGGTCCGTCGAAGTCGATCAGTCTCCCGTAGCTAAATCGTGGCACAGCCGAGGGTTTATTATCGTTGAACATCCTCGCACGATTTGGCCAGTCAATCGCAGCCAGCTCGGAGACGTTGATGAACGTCCCGTGCACCCTATCCTGTATTTTACGCTCGACCGGTCCTCCATATTTAAACCGAAGCCAGTGTCCAGGCCCGGTTCACCGAGTTTCTGTGCGCCTCGTTCGACTCCCGTGTTTTTTGTTTGCCACCGCGTTCCCTCTTCCCATCGTTTCTTCCGGCCGGGAGATGCGACCAGATGGGGTAGATGGGCGAGGTCTATTCCGTCTGGCGTTCGACAGATAAAAGCTTGCCTATAGGTCGATTAAAATATAAATTGCGTTGCCACGTTTCATTCTCCGTTATCCTGCCGATCGTCGGTTCAGAGTTTCCTCAGGAAATTACAATTCACTCAATTAGACATTTTGGAATAGTTTTATTGTTGAGGAAGGAACTTAGAGAATTCTAATTCCACCTGTAATTCCTGAAGAATTTACGTAAGAAAATCGTAACAGCGTAACTGCGCTCTGGACATGTTTTATTGATGTAAGATTAACAAGGGTAAACGAGGTGGCACGGTAACTTAGAAAAAGTGGCGATCGTCGCGTAACCAGAGTGCGCCTTTCGTGATTCATACGGTTCCTTCCTCAATAATCCTCGCATGAGATCGCTTTGATATACGACGGTTCAGTCGTCGAACACGTTGTCGTTGTCGCAGGTCAGGTCAATTCAGGTCAACGTACTCGTTCGACCGTTTGCCTCTGCCTCGCTTCCCGTTTTTCTTTCGAGCTTCCTTTACGGTTTATCAAACATTTCTTTGCCAGGATCGAATTTTACGATCAATGCTTGTATTTTTAATCAACGATGCATCTGATTCCTGGATTCCTCTCAGAGAAATGTTCACTTTCATGAAGTTCATAATTAAGAATGTGAGAAAGATATTTGTAGCGTCGAAGTGATTCGACTGACCGTTTCACCTGCGTCGTTGCGGTAACGGTTGCTGAAACAGTTTTTACGCGGTTGATTTATGGTTTTGCAAAAAGAGAAAGGATGCACACGCGTCGGTATGCCGTTTCCATGTACGCTTGACAACAACCGAGCCTCGGTAGAGTAAATAACAAAACGCGTTGCGCCTCCGACGATATTTGCGCGGTTAAACAATCCGGTATAATGAAAAGAGATTGCGATCAGCAGCCTACGCATAATTGCCACAGTGACGCACTAAATTGATACGCCGCTCGACGATTTGCATCGAAACTGGGAAACCTTTGAATCTCGTTTACTAGAATAATCTAACCGGTAGAAAATTTTAGATACTCGAAAGTGAATTTATTACCTGGTTTCGACCAATAAATAAGTACAATGTTTCATTTTATTATCATGCGCGACGTGTTAATTTGACAGTTTCGAATTTGTTTAAATTGGGTTTAATCACCCGGATTCTGAAGTGTCCACTAAACGCAATCGGCATTAACTTGCCACCTCCTTGAGTTCTAGTATCAATTAGTATTAATATCGATTACCGCCTGCATTATTCATAAACTAATTAAATCCCCGGCGAGAAACCGGGTTCATATTTTTAACAAGCGACCGAAATATTGACTTCCAAATGCGCTTCACACCAGCGCCGATTGTAACATTCACTATTACACGTAACGAAGTCGAGTAAACCCTAATCCAGTTCGCCACTATCGTTTAATCCACAGTAACCGATTCACCTTCACCGGGAACGCGTCGTAGCTCACCGTCATCGAGTACCAGTGCCCATTTCTGGCAGTTACGATTGCGTATTCGAAAATCAAGTATTTTTATTGAATTTTATCTTTTAGAATTATATGCCATCTCCTTGGTTTTCAAAGTCGAGTATAAAATCAGTGTCATATTCAATTAGGTAGAGGCATATACAAAAAAAATCTGATTAAACTCGCACATATCGTAATTAATAAGAATTGTTGTATCTGATCTATAGAAGAGTAATAGAGACTTTTGATTGAAAATAATTATTATGTCTCGGGTCGTGAACTTTTGGAATGTCGGTAGTAAACGTTTCCGAAGAGAGCCCGGTAATAATCGGAGCCCGTGGCGGGGTGGCATGGATGGAAACGGTACACGTGACCGAGGAACGTGCCTCCTGGTGCACGTGGACCGGGGCCACCATCCCCCTGGCGTCGGGCTCCGCTCACTCGTCGAGCCTCGTGCTTTCAACCCTCTTTTGCTCGAGGCGGAGGAGAGGAACCTGTTCCTCTCAGTCATCCTCGAGCCTCTTCGGGCTCTCTACGCGCGCCGCGTCCATCCTTCCTCGCGTCGCGATTAACCGCGAGAACCACCGGGTGAAACACTCTCTCAACAGCAATACATTCTTTTGTTAGATTATCTGTCGTTCCTCTGCGCAACGTCTCCGTTCTCTCTTGTCCAAGGAACCTAAGAAAAGGGAACGTTCTCGTTTACACATACATGTTTTGACTTCGCCTGTAAGCGTCGTATACGCCTCTGTGTATACAATAGGCAACGTGCATGTATGCAATAATGTATATGCATTTATGTATCCATGCATGTAAACGCGAGGGTGTCCGCGTATGTGTGATTCCAATGTGGCGTGATGAGCCGATTTAGTTTACTCGGATTCAGGTGGTTTCGTTCTCGACTCGGACTTCCGTGCTTCATCCGTCGCACGGTTAGTTCGTCCGTGCTTCCTCTGTTACGGAGTATCTTAGTGATTTGTGACCATTAGGATAGAATGAAAGAGAATTTTTTCGAGAATCTGTTTCCTTTCATGGAAGGAGTTTGTTAATAAAGTGGATTAGGAATCGGTCATCGATTGTTGTGACAATTGTTCCATCTCCCGTCACACTTCTATGTAACAAAGAACAGTGAATTATTACTTGTCGATGAACCTATTGATCATGATTCAGTATGGAAGTTTGTCATGATATTCCTGGCAGAAATATTGCCCTGAATCATTTAGTAGTTCCTTCGTCTTCGAGTGTCAGCGCCAATAAGACACGAATGGAATCTAAAATAACTCCGCTGTTTTCATTGCTGGTCCAAAAGTTGATCGAATTATTATTAGATTAGGATTTTTCTGGCCATTGTGCAATAATAATATAATGGAGCTGCAAGGGCTGTGTCGCGATTTTTTCCCGCAGATTCGAGATTTTGCCAGTTAAAATCAATATGACACTCTTACAAAAGAACACCGATTTTCAATCATAATTGTAAACTCACTCGCGTCAACTGTATTTGAATTCGGCGTTTGGTATGTGTAGGTTTGTGTGTGTAGGTTTTTTATTCGTTCTCTAAAAAAATTTCTAGTCCGTCGCATATTTTTACTGTCTATGGAAATTCGAATTTCTCCGTCGATCTCCAACGCAATTTAGAACGATCAAACAGTAATTCGTCTGACATCGGGAAACCGTTGGGAAGTGTCAGTGTCCGGTCAAGTACAATTTAAATCTTGTACCCCAAGAATCGGGTGACGCACACTCGAAGATAACGTCGAGTTCTCAATGACGGAGTGAAACGTTTCGAAGGACTAACGGTCAGAGTGAAGTGGGACCGCGATTAAACTCGCATAGGGAGTCGATCAACGACACGAATGGGGAGCGAAGAAGGAGACGGTATGCCGAGTGTAGATGCGACCGCTTCTTGGCAACAATATTACACCTGGTGCGGCCCGTACACGCACCCACCGCATTCCCATTCGCACCCTCACGGTCCGTCGACGGGCCAGCAGCCGCATACCAACGGTCCGCATCCACACTTTCACCATCAGAGTCATCTTAATCAGTACCAGCCGAGTCAGTACCAGCCAGAGCAGCAGCAACAGCAGCAGCAACAGCAGCAATCGTTGGGAGCATCTACCGCGAATGCGTCCACCCACTATCCGACCCCTCAGTATCACCTGCAGTTACAACCCTCCCAGACGCCACCTCTGCACCAACAGCAACAGTTTCATCCTGCTAGGAGCCAGTCGGCGCCCAGGAGACCTCCTTATGACCGAACAGGTATCGAAATCATTTCTCTATGGCTTTCTACGGCCACGGTGACCGGTATCTGTCAGCAGCAGAATCACTGATTAAAATACAAATAGTCGATGTTTGTACTTAGGATAATCAGTGGAAAATAATAAAAATAAGAGACGATCGATCTATATTTGAAGGGATCAAAAGAAGCGATTAATTGGGTTCCTTCTGAATTTGATTGAACGAATTCTTTGGCCGGCGTTCAATTTAATATGAAAGAAAAACGCGATCCTCTGGGGTATAACCGGTGGTCCGAAGTACCAAACGGGATTTTAATCAGGATGGCCGAAGAGAGCCTAAACCTCGTCCATCGTTATTAATTCTTGGAGAAGGATCGAGCCATTTGGTGATTGACGTCGCGTGACGATCGACCACGCTTATATAATTTCACGGCGAATCCTCCAGGGTTGCGAATAGGATAATAGGTATTCGGAAGCCAAGGACGAGATTGGGTAGTCCAAGTGTGTGTCTGAGAAAAACATTTTTTATTAACAGGCTTTCTATTTCACGTCGTTGTTTAGTCGTTTCCAGTTATACCTCCACAGACCCTCTTGGAAAAATATTCTTTGTTTCATTCGTCTCTCAATTAATTATCAACGAATTCCGTTTTATATCTCTCTATCGCCATTCGAAGGCTCGTCTTCTGATTATACGCAAAAATTTCGTACGATTACCATTGAATTATTTCCAAAACAAATTCCGAGTAGAGAATCGACAGTAGGGGGGTTGGTCGAAATAAAAGCAACAGATTCCCCCATGAATAATTCAGCGTTCGTTTCGAGCGACGGCTGCGTCCTCGAGGCTTCTTCTTCTTCTCCGTCGTGCGTTCATCCCTTCGTGACACTCTTCCAGACAGGGTGGATTTACTCGAGTCGATCGAGTCGTTTTCGTGGACATTTTTGTTTTCCGCGGGTGGATACGTAACTTCCACAGATTACACGCGTGTATCCCGTCCTACACTCGGTTACGCAAACGTTCTTACGGGAAAATCGCGTATCTCGTGTCATCCTGACGCCTCCCCGTCGAATCAAAATTGTCCAGCTATTTTTTCCTTCCAAAACGCATTCGTAACATCGTCAATTTAGGACAATCCTGGTTTCTTGCAAAGTAGAGACATACTTCTACAAGATTAATTTGTAAGAGATTTAACTTGCCTGTTCCTTCCTTTAAATAAATCGAATAAAATTTTGTAGATAATCTTTAGGACAAACTCGTATCTCTTTATACATAATATATTTTATAAATATGATAAATAGCATGGAGCAGTGATAAAGCTGGTTAATACGGCTGGCAGTACTACCGTGGAGGAAGCGTCTCATTATCCACTGGTTACGATCATCATTTTCCAGAAGATTGCCTTCGATTATAATGATTATCGTGTAGCCGGTGGGCTCGATTCTTTGATCTTGCCACGATTTAACGATACTAAATATGGTATCGCAGAGCTGTTAATTCGTTCGTACACCGACTGAGGGGCTCGTTACCGAGCTTTGTACTGCCCTTGTGCGATTATCGATTACACAATTGTTACGCAGCAGCCACCGTTATGCTTTTGTACCAAAATACATAATCCGTTGGACGTTAGGTAACGCGTGCTAACCGACGCCGACTGCAAATTCTATTTGTAAACTATGAGAAATATCTGCGGATATTTATCCCTCACTTTTAAAATCCATTCTCTTTCATGGTCTGATATTACATTCCGTATTCGCGCGGGGCACATTGTGTCTCAATAACCCGGGAGAGCTGTTTCCGCGGTGGACACTGTTATACCGATGCATGCGCGTTATTTTTCTTTCATGGAAATTCACGATAATCCCGGCGATGAAATAAACAGCGACGTCCATCATCCGGAGCGACGGTACATGAAAACCGTATCTAATCGCTCGCCATTTCCACTGTCTTTCACTGGCCATCCTTTTATTCAAATCACTCTTCTGGTCACTATCCATGTATAAAAGCGAATACATTTTTATCACCTTCGGCAAATTGCTTCTGATTCTATATCCGAACATGATTTTACTTACCAAGCGTAAGGGACTCGACCTTATTAAGGATGTATTGGCTATACAGTCAATCCCAAAAGTTTATGTAATTTAGAAAAAAGCATTTCCTATAATTAAAAAGAAATCAGATGTCGGAAGGACAATGATTTTGGATGAAAAAATTTTACTTGGTAACGTTCAATTGGTTTCTAAACAATAAAAGGATTTGGCGATCTTATTGATTTATTGGGTTAAAACGAGTCAGCATTTAAACCTTGTATGTGGAAAAGGCAGCGAGAGGAAAATTGGAAACCGTGTAAAGTAGCAAGACCTTGAGCAGCGCGAGGAAAATTCCCATGAACACCGGAAGTCGTTCGGTCTTGCGAGCAGGACACGCGAATAGTAATTACAAGAATAAGAAAAAGAATTATTTCACTAAATTCACGTGCCATACACAAATCACTTGTATCGTCAACGCGATTTCGAAGACGCGCCGGCGTCAATTAGTTCCACCGTGTCACAACTATGATATTAATAAAGAATCGTCAGTACATATAAAGATAGTTGCGCAACGTGGCAGGCCGTTCGAAATTTTTCATTAGATTCTTTGCATTCGGATTTTAAAGAAAAGCCAGGTTTAGAAAATTCTTATAAAATTCGCAGTCTGCTTATAAGAACAATTGCATGTCTGGATATAAAATACCGACAAAATTGAGCATCTATGAATTAACAAAGTGATTTTCTATTGCGTTCCATCGGCGACGCATCTAATGGCTCCTTGATTTTATTAATCGATTTATCAATCGGTTTCTCGGATAGAACCTATTGGTATTTAGGATAGTTTTTGGTTTTCTTATCAGGAACGTAGTAATTCTGACATGTTTGCATCTCCTCAAGGCTGCGCGTTCCGTTTCGTTGCGGAGGATAATGCAACGTTTCAGGATAACGCGGCGAGACTCGATCGTTGATTTCCAGCAGCGTAGGATCGCAGGATACGCGAATAATCGATTTCCTCCTTGCGTTTCCTCTCCCACTTTTCCATCTCCCACCCATGAATCCGAGGTGAACCTCGAGTCTCCTTCTGTCTCGTTTGATTCGTTCCACGTTTTCCGAGTTTCCACCTCTTTTTCCAACCGCGCGATCTTTTCATCCCCGCAACACGCCTACCTCCCGATCAAGGATTCATTGCCAGGTGAAGCCGATATTCGCTTTCAAACCGATCCTTCCCTGAGAGAATCGTTCGGCTCCGGTAAATCTTGTGAATAATCACAAATAGCAATGAGTCCCTTTCAGCCCTTTTGTATCATGTTAATCATGGGACTTCGGGATTGAAAGATATTCAAAGGTTTACTGATTCGCACGAGCGATTGTTCGATCATGGCTACCAACAATTTTCGAGTAGATTGTTAAGCGTTCGGAATAGTAACAAAACGATTCACAGTACGAAGACGCGGTGAGTCATCGCGAGATGCGAAATCCCACCGGAAGATCAGCTCTCGGCCCACACGCGCTGCCTCGAGTCGCATGTGCAAGCCGTAGATGCACGCACCGATGCAGCCTCGTGACCTGCCCAGAGGAGCCGAGGTGCGATTTTCCTCGAACGATGACCCCTTAATCGAGAATAATCCCGAACTGATGATACCACGAAATTCGCGATTCCCCTTTCCCATACCCATAATTAATTCCCATCTTTCCTTTGCAAGACGTGTCAGGAGTTTTATGAAAAAATGTCTCAAGGAATTTTTGCTAGTCATTGATTTGATGAATGGATGGTCCAAGGATTCTTGGCCGAATAACCAGTTCGGGAATTAATCTCAGAAATTATTATCTCATAGCAAGGATTATTAATAACTCTTTAATCTTATGTGTTAAAAATACATTTTCTCTCAATTTAAATTGGATCCGTGTAAATGAAATATCCTGCTTATAAATATTCGAGTGGTGAGCAATTTGTGGGAGAAATGGTTAATTAAAGAAAGTCTTGAAATTCCTAGAAGATTATTTATATTGATTATATCTTGCCCGTTTCCGCGGCATTGAGAGGAATAAATATAGCCGTTTATTGGAACGTTAGTTGCGGAGAAACCTATGTATGATAACTCATATTCACGATTAACGCGAAACCGCGGCTAGTTAGCGTTGCTAGGCACCGTGAGCCGTGGTGTAATTGCATCCTGACAGTGAATAGCTTTACGTATTCCGGGGAAGAGAGACGGAGCTTCTGCCAATATCATTCTCTCTAATCAACCGAACGTTATTCATCCCGGTGCCTGCCTGATCACGGTAGCCGTTTTCTTTCGATTCTTATTATCTCTATCGTTATTACGCCGTTTATCGGTACCGGCTGATAAATAGCAATCTTCTTATCGAAACGATGATTTCAACGCGAGTCGAACATTTCTTTAATGGCACGGACAGACACCTACGAGCTTTCGTGATGAATTAAATATTAAGAAAATACTCGTAAGAAGCGTTCAGAGGAATTATTAACGTTTTATCACGAAACCGACGATGAAACATAGACTAATAAAGAGGGGGATTAAAAGACACCGAGGTCGGTCGAACAAAGAGGAGGGCCCTTCTCGCGAAGACAGTTCGCTAAAGCGTGTCCGCGTAGAGTACTCCCACTTGCGTATTATGCGCGAGATACCCTATCTCTCGCGAGAGAGGAACATTTTCCTCGTGTATTTTTTGTTCCCTACGCCGGGATCCTGATCCCTGACCCCGAGAGATCTCAACCGAGGTCCGAACCCTGGCTAGGCCCACGCGTCCACACCGGCTCTCCTCTCTTCCTCTCTCTCTCTCTCTTTGTCCGGTTTTTGCTCTCCTTCATATTCAGGACGACGTGTACACAGTTTGATTCGAGTCGCTGATTGTTACATTTTTTAAAGAGTCCGCCCCCGCGAATTCCTCGCTTATTTTTTCCCTCGCTTTCGCTTTGGTGTACTTACAGGATTTATGACGATATCATGCGAGCGCGAGTGTCGTTGCAAAAGGTAAACCCGGGTAATGAAACCGAAACGAGAACTGACCGAGGAATTTATTTTAATATACTAGCTCAGTTATATAATGAATGAAATGCGTAATTGGCGGCAAATTAGGTTGATATATAATTATTAAATGTTTGGTTGTTCCGATCGTTTTACATCGAACATTTCTTGTAGTGGAATTAAGTGATTACATGAATTAGTTGGTACGAAAAGTATAAAGTTAGGCACATTCAATTTCTACTGACAGCGCGAAAACGACGTCGTAAGACCGTGATCACATTAGATATATCAGGTACACCAGCGATCTTAGAAACCTGCGTACAGATCCATAGTAAAACGGATTAGGCGAACACATTTTCATATCCTCTTCTCTGATCTGTCATTCTCTGCCCGATGCAATTACTGATACGCGTACGTATGTACACGCATCGGCAATTGTTTTACGCGTCGCACGATTTTCTCTTTTTCTCTGTCGCTCTTTTTTATATCTATCTATTTATCTGTCTCATTCTCATGCATTGACGTTCACGGAAATACTGTACTTGTATCGTTTTCAGGTGACCCCATGATAACATCCTCTCTGAAGGGTAAGTGACAAACGACGGCTCATACATTTCTTGGGTTTTTATTTTTTGATTTTTGCATCCACACTCCCCGTTTGCCGCAACGCCCCCCCCCCCGTCGCCCCTCGTTTTTACGAACGATCTACGCGAGGATCCTCGTTGTTTTCCACACTAGAATCTTCTCCCACATTTCTAGAACGAGGACGACGGTGGGACGTTCGTACCCTCGTATTCATTTGCATGGGTTTCTTTCTTTCTTTTCAATTCTTCCACTCACGCTTTTACTCTCCTTCACGACACGTAGGAATTGATCAGCGTTCTGGCATGAGACGATTTCGGGAATTACCACACGAACGAAAAATGCTTTTATGGGATCGCGTTATGCTTGGAGACTAATTTGGTTTCTTAGTAAATTAGATCTAATTTGCAAATTTAATAACGCGATTGACGATCGAATTTTTTTATGTAGATCAGTTTGTTGAATGCGAATTACGGTTCATGTCAGAACGATGACGATGGTGCAACGTTCACCTGATTAGGTCGAAGTAGCTAGAAGCTGCATACGCACTATGGTAATTCAGTCCAGGTTTAAAGACAAAGTTATACACATATATTAGATTAGCATTTAATATCTCCACGAAGCAACAGTCTTCGAGTTTGAACAAATTAACCCGTGTGCTGTTGTGGTTGTACATTAAATAATTAATAGAAATACATATAACGAGGAGGTCGTACGTATATAAAAATAGACGATGGTATTTAGTTTCAATGAGATTAGAATTTTCATGGATATTACGGACGGGACACGGGGTCGGTTGGACAAAAGCTATTTAATATGCATATTAATTCAACGCGTTTCATCGTCAATAATTTATAAGCCGCGAAGCTATTAATTACACGTCTTGTAACGTACGCTCAGCTATGCCGAGAAGCTGTGTCGATTGGTTACATGCCATTACAGTAAAGTAGGAGGCCTGCTGCACAGGCCGCCTCCATTCCTATCTCTATCGCGAAGCGTTTTTAATTATGCATTACCTCTAACGCTGTAGTATTTTTCAATAATGCAAATCGTTTTGCCTACCTGCCCGATTGTTTACTCGGTCCCTTCATCAATTCATTGTCCAGTGCTCGACGTTTCAACGATCAAAAAGTTTATCGAATTACGAAATTCAGATTTTCTGAAGTCGAGATTCGTTTTTCTGAGGTCTTATGCAAAACAAGGGAACTGCGACTTAGATTCAGTTTACATTCGAGACCTAAGGGAGGCAATGCTCGTTCGGGTAAACTGCGTCTCGAATGGCATGGATTACGCGCGTTAGAACGTCCTGCCGGTTCTGGACGATCGTTTTACGCGTATTTCTCGGCTTGTGTCGATCTCCTCCGAGCGCGTCTCCAGATCGTTGGAGAACGCATCGAACGAACAGATACATCCTCGTTTCACCATCGCGTCGCGTCGCGCACAACGAGTCTCTCCGGCTCTTACATTTTATCTCGCAAGATGTGGCAATGCCGTGTTACGGGCCAGCCTCGCTAAGGCTGACGTTATGGAAGGATAATCCCATGCGGTCGACGGTTCCGTCTCAGATTTCGCGCCGAGACCATAATCTGGTCGAGAGGAAACCCGGACTCGCACCCAAGCCTCGACCCCTTCTTCGCTACGCAAACTCGGTTGCCCCGATGAAAAATGATCGAGAAATTAAACTGATACCGGTATCTGGAGCACATGGATTCCTTCCTCTAACAACAAAACCGGACTGCGAATTCGTATCCGTGTTAGCTTTTTTGATCATTATCAGACGAAACTGACGTTTTGCAAATATGCCGCCTGTACAAGTGTACAATATTAAGGATGTATTGGCTATACAGTCAATTCCAAAAGTTTATGTGTCTTAGAAAAACGCATTTCCTATAATTAAAAAGAAATCAGACGTCGGAAGAATAATGCTATTAATAAATAGCTACGTGCTAAAAAGTATAGTTTTTCCAATGGCCCTTCAATTTCTTCCAAATTTTCGTTTTTGGCCAATAACTCTCAAACCGTTGAATCTACGGGAAAATTGTATAGGACCTCTCTTGTAGAGGACGACGAGATCTATAATTTCTGTATAAAAGTTTTTCGCTAGCATTAATATTTAACGAGTTATTGACAAAAAACGAAAAAACAGTTTTTTGCAAATTACTCGTTAACTATTGACACTAGCGAAAAGCTTTTATACAGAAATTGTAGATCTCGTCGTCCTCTACAAGAAAGGTCACATGCAATTTTTCCGTATGTCCAACGGTTTGAGAGTTATTGGCCAAAAACGAAAATTTGGAAGAAATTGAAGGGCCATTGGAAAAATCTCGGAAAAATCGAAAATTTTTTGTTGTTGTTTATTATTAGCAATGTTCTTCCGACGTCTGATTTCTTTTTAAAAAATCCGTTTCTAAAGTGCATAAACTTTTGGGATTGACTGTATGGCCAATACATCCTTAAATCTTTTAGAAAATTCGATTTTTTTAAAGTTTCACACTGGTAAGGGCCCTTAAGATTTCAATGAGAATTCTATTTACGAAGTTTCTCTACCAAACGCTTTTAAAAAGTCACATATAACACGCCACGCGAAGTACTCATCAATCGTTGAGTCTATATTTCGGATTTCCGGGGGTCTAAAGGTTGAACGGTGGATCCGTAGTCAGCTATTTCATGAATTTCTCGCGGGAACCTTTGACTTCCTGCTGACAAAGGGTATTTAGAGTCACGTACAAAGGATCCCGTCAGTCATCGAAGAAATCTCTCAGCTTCTTTCTCCCGTCTTTCAATCTATCATCCGGTAGGTAGCTCGAGCCGAGACGTTCCATGATTTCGCGTTGCGATCGATCGCGGAAATATTAACAAATCCCCGGGTTTTGTCTCGAATTCAATGCGAATAGTAACAGGTTGTTTGGTATTCAAAGGGTAACCAAAGGGTACAGCGAGCAGTAATGAGACGTAACGCGTTCCCAGCGATTTTCATCGAAACGTCTGGCTGCCAGTCCGATCTCGATGAAAAGCAAACAAATAAAAAATAACCGCCCTCGACACGCATATTCTTGTATGCTTAGATAAACATTATTGATCGATGAAACGATCGGAGGCGAATGGGAAACGCGTACCGCGTACGTTATTATCGTTATTATTATTATTATCGGGATGTAATTATATACGCCGCCCCGTCGATGGAAAATCAGTTAAATGACAGGGTGCGAGAGGTACGGGCTTGGTGTCAGTCTGGAAATATGTACGTGTTTCCAGCGAAAACCGCTCGTTAAATTCGAATGAACGCGTCGTCGTACCGTCGGCTTTCGTACCAGGCGGACGTCTTCTTATCCTCGAAACCGTGCGCCTGGCATCGAATCAAATCGCGAAACGCGAATGATACTATCTTAATTTCATTCATCAGACGCGGACGCTCTGCCAAGAGTCGCGCCCCGACGATATTAATGGCTTCTAGTTAATTTATCTTTCCATCGAGTTAAATATTGATGATCCTATCGAGCAATTTGTCTTCGACGTAGCTCAAATATATTTTCTTTTAATTTGGTTAAGGAAAGGTTAATCGTCTCTTCGGATCGAACAAATTTCAGTTGGAATCGTGACGCTCGACTCTCTCCCGTGATCATCGGTCATCTCATCGCAAGTTCATTATTTTAACTTCCTTGCTTTCTTATCTGCTAGTCATCTTTTTTTTATTTCGTACTCGGTTTAATTCCTTGAATCTCTGTAATGAGGGAGAATCGCATAAAGGATTCTATCGTTCGTCGCGTAATTGGCTCGGTCTAGGCATAATCGGAGCTAATGAACAGAGGATGGTCAGTCGGAGGCGAGAAACGATCATTTTTGCGTGCGAAAAGGTCAGGAAGACGGGCTACACCAAATAGTCGTACACTTGTTTTCAAAAGTTTCACACGTAGATTTTTTTTTATATCAAATAGAAGACTTGTAATTCACATACAGGATGAAAACCACGAATCGTGATCAGTAGAGATTATTTTGTTATTAATATTAACAGTTTGATCGAGAATGTTTTTATCAGGTACAGCATGGTTTCAAGAGAGTTTTCACGTGATTATACACAAATTTTCGTGAACTCTCTTTTCCATGATTTTTCAAGGTCACTATAATTTTTTTACGCCTATCTGTCAGAGGATTTCCAGATAAATTCGGAAAATATCATAACATAATGTGTGTTATACCTGATAAAAACATTTGCGATTGGACAGTTAGTAACAGAATAATCTGTACTGATCACGATTCGTGATTCACCCTGTATATAATATAAAAGGGACTTTTAATGATACCTCATGTATATAGTTTAGTTTATGAATTTTCTGTAAATCAGCGATCTAATAAGAGTAAATGATTTACATTCAGTTTTGCAAAAATTCAATTGGCAAATTGATATTGTGGAAGATATTTATCTAGCTACGACGATTCGAAATCGTAAAATTACGTGATTCATCGTTTGTTGAAGAACGATCATTTTTTTTTATGCAAAACTCTCGACTTCGAATTCAGTATTGATATTGTTTATTGAAAATGTCTGTGAGTGAAGGGCGACGGAAACTTTTGATCGGCAGTGTATGTAGGGAGAGACGATCAATTTTTTTCCCGGCGTAATCGCGATAATGGCTCGTTACGCAGAGCCCGAGGTAAACTCGTTAATGGGATCTGGCTGTGTCGTACGGAGGCTTATAATTATAATCAATCACCGTTTGAATCGGAAAGGAATAAATAAAAAAAGAATCGTGTCACGAGCCGAGCGATAAAGATGAATAATAATTTTATTATATAAACGGTTTCAGTCTGGTTTGGAAAATGATTTTCTCCGCCCCGAGTTTGTTTACGTAATCGATTAAAAGATACGTCGATTGCCGCGGTACAATTCGTTAAGCGAGGGAATTCGCGAGATCGGGGCGGACGATAGTCGCCTGTTCTCGCGAGTCGGTTTCTCCTTCTTTTGTCCGATTACGATTACCGAGGTGACGGTGAATCGATAGGCTCA